AGAATGTTCCATATCATTTGTGATATTTTGAAGTCAGGATTATTTGTGATACATTTTCCAAAGGACAGCAGAAGTCTCAGAACTCCTCTCACTTCCACACAGTGGTTAAACTCTTGATCGGAGTCCATCAGTCTGCATCAACCCCCAGCACTTCACACCACTAATAAGCTCGGTGACCCTGGCTACACAACCAAGTATCTCTCTTGTAAACCTCCACTTGTGTAAATGGGCCTGAAAGCTCCGGCTTCGTAGAGAAGTTGTTAGGGCTAATGAGATAATGAGGTAATGAGATAATAAGTGATATGAATCCATCCTGTTAAAGAAATGAAATTATATATGCAAGGCATGGGCAGTGGCTTACCAGAGTACTTACGAGTTTCTTTTGCATTTCAGAATGTGAGTTGTAAGTATAAATGGAAGTCGGGGGTTATGCTTTTAAAATACAACTGTATTATCTACATTTTTGCAACTATGATGTGTTCATCTAATGGCTAATTAAAAATAAACTGGATTCCATCTAGCACATATATTAAAATAAGAAATACTGGAAATTGCCATTGTTCCTCTTTGAAATGGTGTCACTTGGAATTATTGTTGCATAATTTAATGACAATTAAACGTACTTTTGTGAAAATATATAATAGCCCTTGAAAACTGACACAATTTGAATTTGAACGTCATTGCTTATAAACAAAATGAGAATGCATTTTTCTAAAAATCATCTTGATTTTTAACACATCAGAAATCTACTCTTAACTGAAAAAATTCACTGAAAGCAGGTCTAATTATATATGTTTTCTCCTAAAAGTTTTGATATCTTTTTTTTTTTTTTTTTAGAGGAAGAGAGACATCGACAAGGAGAGAGGGACAAAGAGAAGGAGCTCTTCCATGCTGCTTCACTCAACAAATGCCAGCAAAAGCCAGAGCCGGGCCAGGCTGAGTCTGGGTACTCAGCACTCAGCGTGGGCCTGCTCCATGGGAGGCAGAAGCTCAGTGCCTTGACGGAACACATGCTGCCTCCCAGGGTCTGCGTCCTGAGGATGCTGGAGTCAGGAGGAGTGTGGAGTTGAACCCAAGTACTCAGAAACAGGATGTGGGCACCTGTCATTAGGCCAAAAATCTGCCCCTAGAGGGTTTGTCATATAGTTAACCACTGCATTAACTAAACAGCATTGTTAGTGACAAACAAACGAGTGAATCCAGCAAACTCTAAGAAAGCAATTTAATAAAGAATATTAGAAACTTGTTTACTATTCAAAAGAACAGACATGTTGTTTGGTATGGTCCCTCTTAGTCCTGTGAACACATATGACCAAATATAAGCAAGTTTTTTTTCTTTCTTCCCTCATTGCAGGAACAGTTACTTTAGCTGCTGACTCTGATTACAGAAATAAAATAATAATTATAGCACACATATTTTTCGTATAATATGAATATTTGCTTGAGAGTTCTAGAATGTGGACTAGGGGAAGCCGCCTAAATTTGCAAAATAATCCAGCTCTGGTCTGCAAGAACACAGGAATTAATTTACCAGTTCAAGATGAAGATAGCCACAGTCTGGTGATCATGATGCCACTGCCCCCACCTTTTGTTCCTCCTCCTAACCTTCTCCTTTACCTCCCTGCTTTGCCCTCTTCAAAAGCTCTCCTCTAACTTGTGAATTTGAGATGGTCTTTGTGACAATATATCTACGGGAGCTGGAGAGTTTAGTGAATAAACATGATTTCCTCACATTACCTCTTATCTCCCAAATATTGGTTTTTGAGTAGCAAGTAGCAGGAATTTTGTTCATGACAATGATTTTGGCAGGCCAGGTAGGGACAAAATTCACAAACGTTCTAGCTATTTTGTTTCTCAGCAGAGTGAGCCACTGACCACAACTGATCACAAGTGTGTACCAGGCTTATGTGCTCACATCATCAGAGGAAGGCAGCTGGGTCATGAGGACCGGCTGCTTATGCTGAGCTAACTCTGCAGCTGAGATTTCAGATCGCCCGGCAACTCCCAAGAGTCCTGTTCTCAGGGACTTTCCTTTCTGTTCCTTTTGCAGTAGTAGTGTGTGTTCTGTTTTGTTTTGTGCAAGGAAACGGTACTTTGTGGAGGCAATGGGCTCCAATCTGGGTGAGGAGGTAACAGGCTCCAACACTGAGTATTTTGAACAGTTGCACACATCAGTGTTGCACACACTCTATTTCCGCCCTTGAGACTTTATGCCTTTTGGATCCAGGTGAGGTTGTTTCTGGCACCAAGTGGTGCAAGACGAAATTTTCAGATCATTGCCCCAGTCCTACTGCAAGGAGGATTTGTTTGCTCTGTTTCCCTGTGTGATCATTTACTTCCTTTTGGTAAAATATGGGCCACTAAATTTCAGTTATTTTCCAAATCCCTCTAGGCCGTATCCTTGCTGATCAGCCAGCCTGCCATGATTATTTCAGGGCTAATAAGAAAATAACAATACTGAGTGGTCTAAGTGATAGGTTCCAAAGAATGAGGAAACCCATAGACTCTCCCTAGTCTCCTGGAGTCAGCTTTTACTTCCACTGGGCCCCCAGTAGAACTGACAGTGGGAAAATCCATACTCAAATGTGGCTAAAATTTTTTTTGACACCAGCTCCTGTTCATCAATCAGTTTCTCTCCAATGTGGGAATGAATGAAGCCAAAAACCATGAAAATCCCATCCTACCAATGAGGACAAATCAAATCTAGCTACGGTATGATTCATCTGAGAAAAGGATCTTCATCACAGGAAAGGAATACAAAAGTTGCCAAAATCAAGATGGAGTCACTGGTGTCCATCCTAAACAAAAGTAGATAAAGCCAATGGTTTACAAATAATGGATCCTTACACTTGACTATCTAATAGCAACTATCACAAGTGTTCTCCCAAGTCACAACCTCTGCAGAGGCTCACCATCACAAAAGAGAGATCTTAACTAGATACAAACTTGGTATTCTCATACTTCATGCTAGAATACATGAAAACATCCACAGTGACATGCCAAACTAGGCCTTCCACCTCGGAGTACATGGGATACTGGTGTTAAGATTGGAAGTACTGATTCAAAAATTGGGTTTATAAAAAAGGTATTCTTGGACTTCATTCTAGAAAAACAGAATGATGCCTATACAGTACCCAGTTTTCCTGATATACATATATTAGCACCTTGCTCCAGGTAAAAACAGATACTAAAACAAATTAAGAATAATTCTACTAATAATTCTACTAATATAATAATTCTACTAATAATTCTACTAATAATTCTGCTAAAAATTGGAAGTCAAGGTTTAAAATTATTATGTTATATTACAATTCTTTGTGAATAGACCTCTAAACTAAGAGCCAAAAATTAAATTGGTGTTCTTTATACCCTTGCCTCTACAAAAACAGGACTGAAAAATATGCATTTCATCCATGAGAATCTTCCAATCCCAAACCCCCAAGTGACATCCATATTGGGCGGAAAGCAGTCAGAACAGAATCAGTGCCCCTTTTCCAAAAACTGGAATGGAAGATTGACAGTAAGAAATTTACAAGAGTACTTAGAATGGATCCTTTCTTCCACCCATCCATTGTAAGAACAACCACTTTAGTTGCTGACATAACTTACATAGCTCAAAAATAAAACAAAGTAATAATTATAACTCATGCTTCACACTGTTGAGTGTTAATGATTCTTTGAGAGTTCATGAAATTAACCTTGGTGAACCCATCTGAAGTTGCACGATAATTTGGCTCTAGTCAGTGTGGCCAGAGCACTGCATTTACATCTGCAAATTGAAGAGAAGCACTGTGATTCTAAGCAGTCTCTCTCACTTGGCCAGAAGCAACATTTGCTGGTCCTATCCTTGTTGCTAACAATTCCCCCACCTCTCCTATTGGCCCCCTTCAACTTTCCTGCTAACTTAAGAATTTGAGATATTCGTTGTTTCAAAATCCCCACCATCTTCTCAGGTTGCTGGCTTGTTGAATAAAACAGGTTTCCATACATCAACTGCTATTTCTTGGATACTGGTTTTTGCAGAGTGAGTAGCAGGATCTTGTTCTCAGTCACACACAGACTGGCCAATCATAGTACTACATTCTTGAACCAAGTTATTATTTCAGTGAAAGCCATGTGATGCCAATTATACAAATGTGTATTCCTCTAAGGATACATTTCATAGTTACCAGAATCCTAAAAGTAAATAACCAAACTATCATATTGTTTTAAAAATGCTTTTTCTATTAAATTCACTAGATGTACATATAGCAAATGCAAACATGGACAACAGGATATCACTGGAAGTCAGTGACTATTCCATCCCAGATCCTATTCTCCTTCCTAGAACAAATCTTCTAAATACTTTTAGAGAAATGGTTCTAGAATTATTATGTAAATAAATATTACCCATTTTCAGATTAATAGTTTTTATAGAAAATGAGACATATTTTCATATAAATGTATTTTCATATAACATGTATTAATTCCTCTCATTTGTTTTTTTGCTATATTCATAGATATATAGAGTTCTATTATATTCTTGATATATAGAATTCTGTTACACACACTAATACATACTATCACATGTTTCCTTTTGATGGCATTGTAATCTGTTTTCATCACAACTCCGTGAAGATGAACATTTCTTACATTTGTATTTGAATTCACATATCACCATTTAAAAATAATTCCTAGATGTCAATATACCAGAGGAGGGACATTTATGTTTTAAAACTAAATAGATGCTTCCTGTAAAGATTTTGCACCAGTTGATTTTCTTACCAATTTATTCCTGCATGATTCTCTCACCACACCAATACAAATGACTTAGATCAAACCCAAATGATGCATGATACAACTCCCAGTCCTTATAATGGACATACCAGTGTTCTAATAATGTTCTAATAATTCTCTGCTGCTCTATATCCGATATTTAGTAAGCTCCCCAGACTTTACAAAGCCTACAGTACATCCCGTAAAACACACATGTTTTGAAGTGACTCTACATATGTACTCACATTGATGTCTTCCAAGTCTAAATTATTTAGCACGATATTGTTCCTTTTCCAGACAATCGGTGGTCTCAAGGCTCCCTGGATGGCACAGCTCAGGACAGCACTCTGTCCCACAGTCGCTGCAGTAATGCTTAGCTTCTGGTCCTCAGGAAGACTCAACTGGATCACCTCTGCAAAGATACAGTGTCAGGATACCGATGAGCATGTAGTTTTGTACGGTTAATTAGTATAGAGTTTCTGAGTACTAGTAATTAAGTCTTTCAATGTGAATGAAAGGGAAAAAAGCTTGTGACGAAATGAAGAGTAAATTGTTTCCAATAAAAGGTCAGGATGACATTTCAATTTAATTGATTGACAAGCATTCTTAGGAGGCAAAGAACTATTAAACATGAAATGAATATCAGAGGCAGAGTTATAATAAGGCTGGCAGATTGCACCCAAAAGAGAAATAAATTATTGAATTGCCAAATTGACATGTAGTGTGTCATAGGCATTGAAATAAAAATGATGTTGTTTATTCATTGATAGATTTATACTGCAGGTGAGGTGAGATCCTTGCTGGCTGGCTTCAGAACACAATAGCATAGCTGAATGGTAAAATGCATCATTATGCTGGCAAACATAAATTGACTCGAAAGGAATGAGATTTATTTGGGAAGTGGAAGAAAAAAAAAATACTGAATTTCACTGACCAAACAGCAATTAAGTGAAATTCTGTCAGCTGTGTTATCAGATAGCATTGATTCAATAGTCACTTCCTAATCTTTAAATTTTAATGTTAAATATCAGTTTTGAAACTAACTTCTCTATGAATTTCTGCTTATAACTGCTAAAATAATAAAACATTATTTGAAATAAGGATGTGGCTTCCTTTTCTTGTTTTCAGACAATCCTTATCAACTGTGAGAATGAACAACCATGCCGTTGAAATTCTCCTCTGACTGGCATGTCTACTAATTCTGCATCCGAAAGAAAGCTGCCCTTTGGTTTCCAGCTGACATTCCCAGGCACTCTTCACTTTTCTGCACTGTGATTGGATCTTGCATTTGTACTCTGCTCAGTCTTCGCCACGTTAGAAATAGTTGGAAACACCACAAATAATTATTGTAATTAATTTCCTGCAGAGGTGTAGAACAGTGTCCCTTAATGTTTTGTTGTGGCTGGTGATATTTTTCACGGGGAGCGGAGTGGAGAGTGTCATCCTATAATTGGCATTCAGTAGGATCATCTGCAAGTCTGTGCAGCACCCACTGCAGCCACCTCTGCTTTTCTTTCACCACGCTACTGTCTTTCTCTTTCTTAATCCAATCTTCCTCCAAAGGAAAAAGAGGATATACATCAAGAGGATTTTACCTATCGTAACAATCCAGTAAACACAACTTGGCTACTGCTTGCATTAAGACGACAGGGCAAAAAAAAAAAAAAAAAAAAAAAAAAGGAGGGGGGAGTGAAGTCATCAGAGAAGGATGAATGTAAAATTCACATATACTCCTGCACATGCAACTGAACTGTATCAACACTGTAAACACACACACACCCACACGCACATTTAACTGAGCTGTACAGTCACCATAAACTCACACACACCCATGCACAGGTAACTGAGCTGCATAGTAACTGTAAACTCACACACACCCATGTACATGTAACTGAGCTGGCAGTCAGTGGAAACTCACACACACCCATGCACATGTAACTGAGCTGTACAGTCACTGTAAACTCACACACACCCACGCACATGTAACAGAGCTGTACAGTCACTGTAAACTCACACACAGCCACGCACATGTAACTGAGCTGTACAGTCACTGTAAACTCACACACAGCCATGCACATGTAACTGAGCTGTACAGTCACTGTAAACTCACACACACCCATGCACATGTAACTGAGCTGTACAGTCACTATAAACTCACACACACCCATGCACATGTAACTGAGCTGTACAGTCACTGTAAACTCACACACACCCATGCACATGTAACTGAGCTGCACAGTCACTGTAAACTCACACACATGCACATCTAACTGAGCTGTACAGTCACCATAAACTCACACACCCATGCACATGTAACTGAGCTGTAGAGTCACTGTAAACTCACACACACCCATGCACATGTAACTGAGCTGTACAGTCACTGTAAACTCACACACACCCATGGACATGTAACTGAGCTGTATAGTCACCATAAACTCACACACACCCATGCACATGTAACTGAGCTGCACAGTCACTGTAAACTCACACACACCCATGCACATGTAACTGAGCTGTACAGTCACTGTAAACTCACACACACCCATGGACATGTAACTGAGCTGTATAGTCACCATAAACTCACACACACCCATGCACATGTAACTGAGCTGCACAGTCACTGTAAACTCACACACCCATGTACATGTAACTGAGCTGCACAGTCACTGTAAACTCACACACACCCATGTACATGTAACTGAACTGTATAGTCACCATAAACTCACACACACCCATGCACAGGTATATAACAGAGCTGTATTATCACTTCTCCCTGACACACCCTTTTCTGATCAAAGTGGACATATACTGACACTGGGATTCTGTTTTATAATATCTCGTTTAAATCTAAAAGACAGCTATTTAAGCCATAATTGTTTTTCCATTATAGCAGCCATATTCTTTTTGCCATTATATCAGCAAAAATAGGAAATGTTCAAAAGTAAATTTGTGACATTTACGCGGTTCAATCCTTTCTTGAGATATTTCAATTTCCTTTAAAGACATTTGTCCACACTAACATTTTATTTCAGTGCTTCCACGTAGCTAAGAACATAGGTAATATCTTAGTCAGCTTTTATTTAATAAACATTCTGTCATAAGTGTACATATGACAGTACTTCAAAAATTTCATGGAAAACAGAATTAAGAACTCAGTTTATGTTGCTACAAAGAAAATTTGAAATCCTTGTTCATGAAGGATCTCCCAAATGTTTATAACAAATGTGTATGTTAAAGAAACTACATGGTATTTCAAAATTTCTATCCACAAAAATAAACTTCTTTTAATTACATTTTCCATGGACCATCATGATGTTTACGCAGATACATATACACACATACACACATGTGTACATGTAGATTTACATACACATGTATAAATAGGCATAAGCACATATAATAAATGAACCAAAACTTATCTGGCAAATTGGGAAAAGGAAAAATTTGAAATTTGCAGAAATGATCTCTCTTTATGTCTCATGTTTAATATTACACGCTTACAGAGGAGAGAACGTTGTAAAGTAGTAGCAACATGTAGAGTAACAGATGAGAATTACTAATAATTTTCCATTTCCATTTCTGAATTTGAATCTCTACTATCTCATTAAATCATGTCAAGGGAGTGGCATATTCAGGTCTGAAAACTACATGTTAACTTTGTCCTAACACAGAGAAATGCCATTTCTACTGGGTTATCCCTGAAGCTCTTCACTAACATCCTGTAACTGGCATTAAGTCTAGGGCCACTAGGTTAGTTGTGGTTTTTATAGTTATATATAATATAAATTATATATTATATATGGTTATCTTGGAATAAATGCTGAGGTATGAAATAATATTGTATGCAATATCTTTCTAAAATGTTTTTTCAGGAAGACCCAACTAGGTTCCTTGTTTTTCACTCATGGAATATAAACATGAACGGAAAGATTTTTCCTTAAATTTGAATGATATTTAAAATATTCTAAAGACTATCTTGGTAACCTGCATTATAAATAATTTATGCATTTGAAACTTATTTGGATCTTTTTTTCTGCAGATTTCATGTCTTCAATGCCTTATTATACACAGCTACATACACAAAACCAATTATTTTCACTGGTTACTTCGCAAAATCAAGTGGTGCAGTCTTACATTTAGCAGGAAGGTGTCAATGAGCTGTTTTCATGTCCATCTTTACTGTTCTTTGTGACAGTTAATAGTAAACAAAGATTCAATCTCACAAAACACCTTTATTCTTAAGTTTCATTAATGCTATCTTGTGAATGAAGAGCAAAAATGTAACTGTAACTTTATATATCATTTTAACATGTTTAGAAATGTGTTAACAACATAAAAATAATCAAGCTTTCATTCCATTTAAAACAGATTTTAGGACCCAGTTTCATAGGTCATTTGTTCTGTAAGCAAAGAATTACTTTATTGATTGTAGCTATATGTTTATAAATAAGAGTTCCAAAGAAATATTTAAAACACAATCTCACAATCTCTTAACAACATTGTTTGGGTATATATTGATGTTGGTTTATTGATTTGATAGCATTCTATCCACAAACATATTAAGCTTGTTATATATTCACAACCACTCACAGTAAATAGCAATGATTATTTCAGTAGTGCACTCAAACCCTTCAACTGTTCTGATCATTTTTGTAATTCCTATTAAGGAATGAAGGTAACAAAAATTATATTAATAACATATATTATTTTCAAATAAAATATACTTTTCATTTCTCTATTCCAATGAAACTAATTGCTGATACAAAGCAGATTATACTAACATAATATTAAACTGATAAGAACAGATACTAAACTTGATCTTAGCCAAAAGGCCAAGAAGCGATTATACTAACATAATATTAAGCTAGAAATATATTAGAAAAAGAACTTGGGAATCCTAGTTTGATACATTAATCTTACCATAAGAGAATCATGAGTATTCAATAATAATCTCTTAAACTGGGAAATTCTCAATAGTGACTTTTTGTCATGTAATGGTTTATTTCAAAAGAAATATTAATGATTAGCTAATTTAGATTTGCCAAGATACACACAATTTTCATGATAAAAATGCCTAAAATTCCCAGTACTAAATGTTTTTCTGTAAGGTACTATATACTTTTATTTTGTTTTGTAATATAGAATTGAAAAATAAAAATCTAGAATTAAATATGACTGATATGAGTAAATAGCAAAGCACTGTAGAGATAGCAAAGCAGTGAGGACTTGCCCACCTGCTGTCCTATAGACAACAGCACCTCAGAGGGGAGGCTGACGTCTGGAATTACGATTTACTCTTTGCTTTTGCCATCTTGAGCAGATACCCGATGGTCTGCATATTTTATGTGGCTCCATTTATATGGAATAAGTAAAATAAAGGATGACCTTTCTCTCCGTGCTAGGGCTTTAAGA